TTAGGGTTTGGGCTGTTGCCTTACTGTTACGGCTTTAAGGTAATTTCCACACGTACACTTGGAATAATAGGAGCGAAAGAGCACCCAATGTCCAAAAGAATGCCCAAACCCTAAGATGGTTTACCACCACTATCCACCATCAGACACAACCACCCACCTATGACCAATGACTGATCCTACCAACGGAAGTGCATTCTTTTGGACATTGGGTGCTCCTCTTTCCTATTATTCCACATGTGAAAAAACTGAGCTTAATTGAAGACATTCGGTATTTTTGGATCCTTGGTGGAAGAGGATGCCCTATTTAGGTCAGGGAACTTTGGACAGGTTGGATTATAAGCCCTGAAACCATTCTGCCACAGGAACTGGGGTAGTGACATCTTGATCTAGAAGACCTGAGAGGGCCAGACGAAGATCCAATAAACTGTGCAGTGACACAGAAAGGGTGGAGGTAAGGCAAACCAAAGGAGGGATAAGGAGTGAAACCCTTGGAGATGATCTGCGGCACCCAAGCATCTGACATGCAAGCCGTACAAGATTCAATAAAACATCTCTCACTTTGGAAAGTGGGGGTGCAACTTTATGCTGCTTTTGAGCCCAAGACCTTGCAAATGGACAGGGAGACAAGCTTGGTGGTATGGACGTGGTGTGGGGGTGTAAAGATAAAAAAACAATGTTTCTTCACTGATGGTAAAGAAGAAGACCACTCATTTCTCCATCTCCAAGCACTTGACCACTTGCTTGGCTCTTTTAAGCTGACAAGCCCCCTGGCAATCAAGAGCTGCTCGTCTTGGGCAAGTGTTTGGAGACAGAGACAAAAAGTGTCTTCTATTAAATCTCAAATATAAAGGTTCAGCGCTAAACACTAAATATGCAGCATAAATCTCATCCTTATTATAAGGAAATGAGAAGATGCAGTTGTTTTTTTTTTTAAAAAATGTACAGCATGAGAAAACCGATAGCATATATTCAGTATATAGGTATAGATAATCAGCAATACCAAATCAAGCAAGAAAAACAAACAAATAAATGTGCATAAATGATGTCACCAATAGGTGAGTAAAGTGCAAAAAAGTCCCAGATGTATTGCCCACGTGAGGATCCTGTATGTTCCCGATAAGCGTGCGTGGAGGGTTAATCCCAGTGGCAGGTGTTCAATGTAAATGAAATGCGCACTCACCAGAAGTGCGTGTAAACACGCATTTGAGATATAACCTATCTAAGGCATAGGCATAGTTTAGGTCATCCGCCTCCCAGATCAGGTCAGGATACTTCCTAGTCACCTCTGCATGCAGTACTTGATCCTTGATGCGTATCACCATAGGGGCTCACCCTTAGTGCGGCCTCTGCGAATGTCCCTCATGAATAGGGACCAATAAAGGAGACCACATAGCGTGATACCGTAGGGAACTTTATTCCATTGAATGAAAAGTGCAATGACAAAGTGAAATAAAAACACTGACCGTATAATAGGAATTCAGGATGACCACCAGCGGTGGCTAGACCTCCAGTTGCTGTAGCCCCCGTTAAAGCTGCTGTCTCTGCTAGCTGGGCTGTCGAATTGGTGTGGAGGGAGGAGTGGACTCCTGTTTAGCCCTACAGATAGCCCTAGACAGCATATTGTTAAAAAAAAAAAACCGAAGTGAGACTACTTCTCTAGTGCTACAGCCACTAGCTCCATATGGTCCACGATCCTGGGATCAACTGCAGCAATCCCTAAACCAATCAGCCTGGGTTTGGCAAAGCAAAGTCACAGCCAAAATGGGACGAAAGGCAGGACCTGCCAGCAATAGGAGCACATTTCTAAACATTTATCGGTTGAGTACTTAAAAGAAGGGGCATCCTCCACCACCATAGTGTTTGACCTTTCAAGGTGGGACAATGTTGGATTCACAGTGGAGTAAAACCCTCTTTATCAAAGTCCCCTTCAAGGCTAATAAGTGCTTGGGGTAAGCAACAATCGTGTCCAGATGCTTCCAATCTTTGTAGAAGGCCTTTCACATTGATTGCACTGAAAAAGTCTTCGTGGTCTTAGGGGCTCGAAAGGACCCAAGAATGGGAATAGCATGGTAGACGCAACAGGTTAAACCTCTAGTTTTAGAGTGGTGAGCACCATATCAATGAGCTCTGAATCAATTTGGGACTAAAGACCGATTCCTGGGAAACAAGATTGTGTGATACAGAGTCAAGCGATTTAGAATCAGAGCCTCAGCAGCTGATGGCTCAGAGTCCATGGGCAAATCACATATAGGATTTGCAGGCAAAGGCGCAAGAAGTAGTGGTTTCTGAAGTAGAGTCAAACAACTGGGGGATTTGGGCCGTATCTTGTGACTCTAGTATAAACCTCAGCCAAGAGCGCAGAAGAGCCTCTCCCACCAGTTAAAGTGATAGCAAATTTAAAACGTTTTTACCTTAACGCATTGCTTGCATCAAGGTAAAAGACATTTTTAGTCTGCTGTGCTCCCCCCTTCCTCTGTAAAGGAAAGAAATGGGAGAAGAGATCAGAGCTGCATCTCTTCACCCCTCACTTCCCCTAGGCACAGACTCGAACAGCAGCAGAAAGTGCCATTGGCTCTTGCTGCTGTCAATCAAATAAAGTGAAACGGAAGTGGGTGGGGTTAAGTCCCGCTGTGTATGTCTATGGAACGTGGCTCCGTAGACACAGAGGTTGGGAGCATGCATATAGCGTGCCCCCATAGCAAACAGCTTCCTATGGGGGGTCACACAAAGAAGAGGAGGAGCCGAGATCGCTGTTATGTTAATTGAAATCATTTTTAGACTTTTGTAAACACTTTAAAGGAGACTCTGAAGACTGGAGAGAATCAAGGAGCCGAGGACAACATGACTCCAGGCTGCAGACGTCTGCCATATCAGTCATTAGTAGAGAGTGAGCTGGGGGTCCAGAATCAAACATGCTGTGACCACGGGCAGGGCTGCTGTTAGAATCCATGGGGCTCCAAACAGCCAACCTGGCAGGGCCCCCACTTTCAAAAATGCTTTACTATGCTTCAGTTATGATCGGTACCGAACGCCCATTGTGTTCATTCGGGAAAAGAAGGGTCTGGTAAATGTGATGTATTTACCAGACCCTTCACTCACTTTCCATCCTGAAGGATCTTATTGTGTGCTTGCAGCTGCTGAAAGGAGAGGAGGGAAGCAGGCAACACTGTGGAGGTGGGGGCACACAGGGGGAACATGGTTTCACAGGGAGGGTGATGGGTGCGGCAGGGGGAAATTACTGGAACCAATCCCCTCTATGGCTCTCTGCAGCAGCTGAAAACCAGCAGGAGGGAGAGGAGAAGAAGCCAACGTTCAGCTGCTGCAGGAAGAGTCATACAGGGGATTGGTTCCAGTAAGTACCCATCTCCCACCATACCAATTACCCTCCCTGCCCACATCCAATTCACCCAGCTGCCTGGGCCCCTCTGCTGGCCTGGGCCCTGTACAGGAGGACTGGTGGTACCCCCTTATGCACGTCCCTGACCACGAGGCAGCAAAGCAACCTAAAGTTCAAGGTACAAGGCGAGACCTCAGGTACTCCTGAAACCCAAACTGCTGGTAGCTGGTGAGAATCAGTTGGCCAGAGGTGACCAAAGTCACTGTAAAGCAAAGCAGAAGCGGCAGCATGGAGATGCTTCCTCAACGTTGTATGGTAAGGGCACAGAACATGTTACACTCAGCCCAGTAGGTTACTTCAGCTCCTTCTCATAGCGTTAACCCATTCTGTGGTGGAAACCCAAAGGAAGCAGAAAATGTATAGAATCCCTTTGACCTAATTACATGAGGTATCCCCTAGTGCTTGGCCCCATCAACCCACTCCCAAAGTGCGATTTTAAAAACGGGGCATACACTGAGGCAATATCAGTGGTTTTAGATCTACAGAGCTCTGTGGCTTTTACCAGGATGGAGTCTGGAAAGTGCCCTACATGGAACAGTGCTTGAAGGTGTCTTCCAGGCTAGCCCTATAATGTCCACCCACTGGGGTCCAAGCAATGCATTCCAAAAGCCAGGCTGAGGACGGTAGAGCTAGCAAAAACAGGTTAGTCTTCTACCCAGCAGAACTGAAGAAAAAGATATCCATCCTACTGGACACTAGCCAATAAACAATCGATGCTTGTAGTAGGAAGGGTTATCCTGGGCTGGTCTTCAGTTTTTTGGTTTGCCCATTTCCAGTCTTCCTGTAAGTGGCAGTTTAATCCAAAAGGTGAATGACGTCCCATGTTCATCAATGGACAAAAAAAAAACCTGATTGCTTTCAAAGGCTTTCCGTAGTTTTGTTCTGCTACCAATTCGATAACTCAACTAAAAGTATTCAAGCTGTTAATTTATTGCCAGCGACCTGAGTGCTTGAGGTAGCCCCCAATGCTTGTGAACTTTGAACTTCACAAATTCTGATGGTTGTGATTGGTGGAAAATTGACACCATGAATGGCTCTGTAGGTAGGATCATAGAGTGGTGAGTATCTGAGGGACATGTATGGTGTAAGAACACATGTATGCACCTGCATCCATCCTGCCTGGCGCTACAACTAGCTTCCCCGGTGGGGTCTGCTCCTCCCACACAGGCAATGCAGTAAAGATCTATGGTGGGGGTTCAAATTAGGGCACTACAATTGCAGCTATGCAATGCAACACACAGACCCGATGATAAATCCAATTCTGAGCCAGTCTCTGTGTAATTCCAGTGCACCACACTTACATTCCAGAATAATTCATATCCTTTCTTTGAGGTTTTCCGAAGGGCTAATGGACAGCACACAATTGTCTGGCAACAGGCTTCCGTCCCAACCAGAGACCCTGCATTCACTATATCTGGTCTCCCCGGACCCCGCATTCACTACATGCGCTCTCCCCGGACCCCGCATTCACTGCGTCCGCTCTCCCCGGACCCCGCATTCACTATATCTGCTCTCCCGGACCCCGCATTCACTATATCTGCTCTCCCCGGATTCACTATATCTGCTCTCCCCGGACCCCGCATTCACTATATCCGCTCTCCCCGGACCCCGCATTCACTATATCCGCTCTCCCCCGGACCCCGCATTCACTATATCCGCTCTCCCCGGACCCCGCATTCACTATATCCGCTCTCCCAGGACCCCGCATTCACTATATCCGCTCTCCCCGGACCCCGCATTCACTATATCCGCTCTCCCCGGACCCCGCATTCACTATATCCGCTCTCCCCGGACCCCGCATTCACTATAGCCGCTCTCCCCGAACCCTGCATTCACTATATCTGGTCTCCCCGGACCCTGCATTCACTATAGCCGCTCTCCCCAGACCCTGCATTCACTATAGCCGCTCTCCCCGAACCCTGCATTCACTATATCTGATCTCCCCGGACCCCGCATTCACTGCGTCCGCTCTCCCCAGACCCCGCATTCACTATATCTGCTCTCCCGGACCCCGCATTCACTATATCCGCTCTCCCCCGGACCCTGCATTCACTATATCCGCTCTCTCCCGGACCCTGCATTCACTATATCTGCTCTCCCGGACCCTGCATTCACTATATCCGCTCTCCCCGGACCCCTGCATTCACTATATCCGCTCTCCCCGGACCCTGCATTCACTATATCCGCTCTCCCCGGACCCTGCATTCACTATATCTGGTCTCCCCGGACCCTGCATTCACTATATCTGCTCTCCCGGACCCTGCATTCACTATATCTGCTCTCCCGGACCCGCATTCACTATATCCCGCTCTCCCCCGGACCCCGCATTCACTATATCCGCTCTCCCCGACCCTGCATTCACTATATCCGCTCTCCCCGGACCCCGCATTCACTATATCTGGTCTCCCACAGTACACACAACATGGAAATGCAATTATTTTAGTAAATATAAACTGCTTAATTCCTTTTCTCATAAGCAGTATATAGCAGTCTATCAGTGTCCAGCCCACCACTAGCTAAAGCTTGTAGGAGTTTTCTTTCTGCTCTAGGAGGATGCAGAACCCTTGACCTCTGTCTGGACAGTGCCGATTGGCCCTGTGATGATCACACGCACTCTCCCAAGAAGAAAAAAAAAACCTCTCCAGCAATACAAACCAAACTGAGCATGTGCATGCCTACGGTTCAGTCTGGAGATAAGAGGTGAACGCTTGAAAAAGGGTAGGAACAGAGAAGACAGGATCAAACAGCCTTTTTACACAATGCAGGATTAACCCCTTAGGTTCTACAGTGAGTATAACAAGCATGCTTTCCTGCATCTACAGACTGATTGTACTGCTGGGGGTTTAGGAACACTTTTAATCTTCCATCACCAAAAAATTAACTTATAAATCTTTATTACAACAACACAAAGAACGTGTGTGATGGGGGCAGCATAGAATTACACAGTAATTAGGAAAAACTCCGTTCACTGAAATCAGTGCTATGAGAGATTCTGGTTGGCTGCTATTTATAAGATCCGGTTTAAATATATGTGAATTGAATGTGTTTTGAACTGCATTCCAATTCCCATGATGTGACCAAAATCCTTTTCTATGGAGCCGGTTTACACATGTGGGCTGGCCACAGGGAGAGAGAGTTAGACAGACTATAGTCGGCTTGGATGTCTTTGCTCCAACACGGATGTGAACCCAGACTAAACTCTGTAGAATACTTCAACATTCTCTGCAGGGCCAGGGTGACTTAACCCCCTCCCGTCTGGCCGCTGTTTATAAACGGCCTCCCCGCACCCTGCTTGTGCACGCTCCCTGGGAGCGCGCAGCACCGCGATATGGTGCCCGCTGTGTCCTCCGGACACAGTGGAAACCCGATCGTCATACGTTTTACCTCTGTGCAAGGTCCTGATCATGTGATCACTGATTGGCCAATCAGTGATCACATGCAGAGCAGTAAGCAATGATGTCACTTCTGACATCACTGCTTACTACGTGTGAAATCTGTGATTACAGAGGTCACATTCACAACAGCTTTGTACCATGTGACAAGCTGTGACCAATCACAGCTCACTCAGTATTTCTCAATGGCTGCAAGAATGCAGCCAGTGAGAAGGAGAAAATGATTGTTTTTACAGCCTTTATGGGTGTAAAAGCAATCAGTGTAAAAAAAAGAAAAAAACAATCTTCATCACCCCCACAAGTAGTACAGTGTCACCATGGTGACACTGTACTGCTAGCGTGGACGTATGTAAAAAAAAAAAAACAACAAATAATAATATTAAAAAAAAAAAATGTTTTAAAAAAAATGTTTGGTTATAAACTAATTTGGGTTATTTTACTAAAAAGATAATGGAATACATTTTGGCCAAGATTTATGATGAAATATTATTTACAAAATTTTAAATGAAAAACACTTTTTCAAAATTTTTGGACTTTTTCATTTATATAGCAAAAAAAATAAAAATTCCCAGCGGTGAATAAATAACAGCAAAATAATAGCTTTGTCTGTCTCAAAAAAATGCTAAAATATTCATATGGGAGCAGTGTTGCATGACCGCGCAATTGTCATTCAAAGTGTGATAGCGCTTCTGAAAGCTGAAAATTGGCCTGGACTGGAAAGGGGGGTGAAAGTGTCCGGACTGGAGAGGGGTGAAAGGTGTCCGGACTGGAAGGGAGGGGGGGGGGGAAAGTGTGGACTGGACTGGGGGGGATGGGGGGGAAAGTGTCCGGACTGGAAGGGAGGGGGGGAAAGTGTCCAGACTGGAAGGGAGGGGGGGAAAGTGTCCAGACTGGAAGGGAGGGGGGGGAAAGTGTCCGGACTGGAAGGGAGAGGGGGAAAAGTGTCCGGAACTGGATGGAGGGGGGGAAAGTGTCCGGACTGGAAGGGAGGGGGGGAAAGTGTCCGGACTGGAAGGGAGGGGGGGAAAGTGTCCGGACTGGAAGGGAGGGGGGGAAAGTGTCCGGACTGGAAGGGGGGGGGGGAAAGTGTCCGGACTGGAAGGGAGGGGGGGAAAGTGTCCGACTGGAAGGGAGGGGGGGAAAGTGTCCGGACTGGAAGGGAGGGGGGAAAGTGTCCCGGACTGGAGGGGGGGGGGGGGGGGGGAAGTGTCCGGACTGGAAGGGGGGGGGGGGAAAGTGTCCGGACTGGAAGGGGAGGGGGGGGGGAAATGTGAGTCCGGACTGGAAGAGAGATGGGGGGAAGGGGGGGGGGGGGGGGGGGAGTGTCCGGACTGGAAGGGGGGGGGGGGGAAGTGTCCGGACTGGGAAGGGGGGGGAAGTTCCGGACTGGAAGGGGGGGGGGGGGGGGAAGTGCCTGGACTTGAATGTGGTTAAACATTTAAAACGATGAACGTTTTTTTTTTTTCTATATATTTGTTACAAAATATTTCACATGCTCATCTCAGTCTTTCATACAGTTTAAATGGTATACAAATATTTTTCCAGCAAAGCTTTCGCAGTTCTCCTTCCTCTGCACTAGTTTGTGGACGCTGCAAAGGATAACGTGGTCCTCAGTGGTGGAATGCCAGCAATTCTCAGATGTTCCATTTCTCTGTCCGGGTCTCCACACGCAGCACCAAACCTTTACCCAGGATCTCAAAACCCTCCACCATGGCCTCCACATTGGGGTACTAGTAATGAGCTTTTACTGTCCACCATCCGCCCATTAATATTGGAGGTCTGCAAGAGATAAAAAATATAAATCAGCATCAATCAAGTCAAAGATCCCCGCCACACGTGCATAGCGGGAGTTACCAATTTAACCCCGTCGCCTGCCAGGCACTTCCACCCCCTTCCTGTACCCAGGCCAATTTTCAGCTTTCAGCGCTGTCACACTTTGAATGACAATTGCGCGGTCATGCAACACTGTACCCAAATTAAATTTGTATCTTTGTTTTGAGACATAGAGCTTTCTTTTGGTGGTATTTAACCACCATGGGTTTTTCATTTTTTGCTAAACTCCTTCACTGATGTGCGCTAATGAGGCTGCAGTGACGGGCACTGATAGGCTGCACTGATGGGCACTGATAGATGGCACTGGTGGGCATTGACAGTCATCACTGGTGGGCACTGAAAGGCAGCACTCATATATGGCACTGATAGGTTACAGTAATTGGAACTGTACGGCGTCACTGGCTGGCACTGATAGGCTGCACTGATTGGAACTGTTAGACGGCAATGACGGGCAACAATAGGGGGCACTGATAGGAGCCACTGACTGGCACTGATAGCTGGCATGAAAGGCAGCTCTGATGGGCACTATGTGGCATTGATGTTCACTGATAGGCACTGATATGTGGCACTGATGTGATTTGATGGGCATTAGGTGGCAATGAAGTGCATTGATGGGAACTGGTATGTAGCATTGATGTGCATTAGGTGGCAATGATGTGCATTGACGGGCACTGGTATGTGGCATTGATGGGCACTGGTATGTGGCATTGATGGGAACTGGTATGTGGCACTGATGGGCACTGGTATGTGGCACTGATATGTGGCATTGATGTGCATTAGTAGGCAATGATGTGCATTGACGGGCACTGGCATGTGGCATTGACGGGCACTGGCATGTGGCATTGATGGGCACTGGCATGTGGCATTGATGGGCACTGGTATGTGGCATTGATGGGCACTGGTATGTGGCACTGGTATGTGGCACTGATATGTGGCATTGATGTGCATTAGTAGGCAATGATGTGCATTGACGGGCACTGGCATGTGGCATTGATGGGCACTGGTATGTGGCATTGATGGGCACTGGTATGTGGCACTGATGGGCACTGGTATGTGGCACTGATATGTGGCATTGATGTGCATTAGTAGGCAATGATGTGCATTGATGGGAACTGGTATGTGGCATTGATGGGCACTGGTATGTGGCATTGATGGGCACGGACAAGTGGCACTGATGGGGCTACACTGATCATCAGTGCCCTGGTGATCAGTGTAGATGTCCCCTCTGAGGAATGCCGATTACCGGCTCTCCTCTCCCCACGTGCTGTCAGCGCATTACATTGTTTACATGCGATCAGCCGTCCTTCAGACTTTACAAGGGCCGGACTGCAGCCAGTGGGAGTAGAAAAGGTCCCAATCTCAATGGGGGAAAAAAAAAATAATGCCCCTTTGTTTGGTGTCAGTGGGAGGAATTCTGCCCCATCATTGATCTAATTGGATCCTATCATTTGTGTCACTGGGAGGAATTGTGCCTGATCATTGGTGTCATTGGAGGAGTTGTGCCCCCTTCATTGGTGTAAGGGGGGGGGGGGGAATTGTAACCAATTGGTATCAGTGGATGAAATAGTGCCCCAAGGGTCAGATAAAAGCAAGCACTGGGCCACGTCTGGACTCTGAGCCACAGTTTGGAGACCACTGGACTAGAAAATTCAATCAACAAATGTTTTAATTTTACCTTTTTTTTTTTCCTCTGAGAAGTAGTAAAGGTGAGTTAAACACCTCGGTCTTGTTTTTTTTTTATTGCTGGGGAGATTCACCCTATTTGTGTGAGATACTGAATCCAGAATGTTTCGGTTGTCAAACGACAAACATGGGGGTGACGGGATACCCATTCCCAATTTTTTTTTTTTTTGGACAGATCTCTAGTCTCTTTACACAGCATGCAGCCAGTGATGTC